GTTCGCTAGGCCCCGCTTGGCCGCAACCTTGAACGATCCGATGAACCTTGGACGAAGCTTCGTCCTGGAGATAGCAGAGGCTGCATGTGTGGGCAGCTTTTTGAATTTAACAAAACAAGGTCCCCGACCTTAAAGCTTTCTCGTTGGCCTCTTCCTTTTCCATCTGCAGATTCTTTTGCAGATCTTGGCTTTCAGCTATCGCATCGCGAATGTGTCTTACCACACTCAGTCTGGTAGACAAGAAATCATCGACTTCTTTGCGGATGGTGAGGGGGCTGACATCAGCTAGCCATTCGGCTATTCCTCCCCCACCAAGCCCTGACACATGGGATGGCGGCGTCAGCGGGACGCGAGGGAATTAATCAATATTATCGAATTTTGCTCTAATATGTTTGTATAGTAATTATTTTTGAAAATAAAAATTTTGCATAAATTGTATAAATTACTATTTTAAAAAATAATTACTATACAAACATATTAGAACAAAATTCGAAAAAATTGATTAATTCCCTCGCGTCCCGCACAGGATTTGACAGCTTGTCTTGCTCGTGATGTTTTGTTTGCGTCAACTTATTTTACACTCTACGATATGGACAAAACTGTGTGTACACGATAATTCGTCACTTTTTTTGTCAATGATTGCTGCTTCAACTACAGGGTGGCGATTGCTGATGAATACAATATTTTATTTAGTCCTACTCAAGGAAAAATAAACATACACACATTTTTTTGATTCCAATTGAAATACAACTGGAGAATTTTGCGTTGCTATTAGGAGCTCACCATACACTCCAAGAAATTCCTCGTGAAGCTCTGGTGAGTCATGAGCTCGCCTCTGCTAAGAAGCAGAAGCGATACTGGCGCGGGCACTGGACCAGGATGGTCAATGTCGCGGGTATTGGAGGATCTGAGTTATTGAACACCGAAGGTGTAGTGCCGAGCATGGCTCGCGGGCTGAACGTGGAGTGGATATCGCAGCTGCTGACAGCGTGATAAAACGTCTGAATACATTTGCCGTCGTCGTCGTGTCAACATGATGCGTCTCGATAGTACAAACACGCTGTAGCACCTCTCCAGGCGCTTCAAACAACATGCGCCAATATTGATATATCAACTGATGATTACTTTACGAGTGTTTTGATGCAATAATTATTGCCGTTGCTTCAATCCAATTTGTCTGGTTGAATGAGGCAGAAATTACCGCACGTTCGGCACGCGGGCGCGTGGAGCGACACCTCCGATTTGAGTTAGCCAAACTCAAGGCACGCCGTCGACTTCCTTCGGATTGGGGCTATCTAACTCTTGGGTTTAAATTCAAAACTGACTTTATTCATTTTTATCTGCGGCAAAGCCGCCTAATTTTAAATGTATAGATTTGTCTAAATATATGCAGTAAATTCTAAAGTGATCTACATCAAATGAAATGACACTCACACGAATTACGCGCGTGGTTGATTCATATATACCGCGACTAACTCGTCGGCATCCACCTTGGTCGCAAGAAGACATTTGGGGCTTTTGCGCCCGACTTTTTCCAGCCGGATATTTATACAAATGAAGGCGGTCATGCGAGACATGTCGGCGCGTCAAACCGTCACTTTTGATGCAGCAGCAAATCTGATTAGACCAGACGCATCAGATTGATTGTGATCAAAGCTGGCACCGAAAACGCCACGAACATAGTGAGTGTCGACGCTGCGGCAACAACTAACGCGCTCAAACGATTGTCATGTGGTCAGCAGCTGAGATATCAAGTCACATATGTTACCAAAAGTCTTCCAGACGTGCTACAGCGTTCGTGATTGAACCCGACGCATCATTTTGACGTGGCAGCAACGGTTAACGCGCTCAAACGATTGTCAAGTTGTCAGCAGCTGAGATATCAAGTCACATATGTTTCTAAAGCTTCCAGACGTGCTACAGCGCTCCTGATTGAACTAGACGCATACGTTCGACGCGGCAACAACAACTAGGGTACGTGTATCCCCGACACTCTCCCCTACGAAGTTAGAATACCAATATTCACATTTGACGTTCGCCTCATGCGAGGAACGCGTGTCTTAGACACTGTTACGTCTCAAAGCACATCTTTGAACATTCTCCGCTTAATGATTCCTGTGTCTATGTCTCGGAAAACACCCAGCCTAGCAGGTTTCGAGGGTGCCCGCGGGCAGAGCCATTCTTCCACTTCTGTACGTAGTGCATCTTCGGACCTCACGTCCGCGGCTTCACGGTAAGCACATCCCAGGCCCTCGGCAATCGGGCGTCACACACCGCTCCCGCACCAAGGACAAATTTCCTTCTCGAGAATTTGGAGGAAGTCGACTACGAGTCGGATACTTCTTTCCCAGCACGGGATGTCGAGTGGGATGAGTTGCGCCAACGGCGCGACGTGAGCCCAGCTTGAACCTTGCGGTCACCCGTAAGAAGTGATATTAGTACCAATCGCCTTGGCAAAGCACAAGCAACAATTGGAGGCTGTCTACAAGGCAGCTCACATGCGCTCGTATCCACATTTGGCTCTAGACCCTTGTGTGAAACACGGCTTCCGCTCGGCTGATTACGCTACTGAAGCGAAAGACGCGATCACTCGATCGTTAGGCGTCTGCGTAGTCGGGTCCCCCGCCATCCACAAGTTGAGCTTGACGAGCAAAAAGCTCTCCAAGATCGTACTTTGCACGGACAAAAGGTGTCAATGACGTCACACTGCTCCTTGGGCAGGGGGTATTGGCGTGTTATGCAGTATTTTTTTAATTTTGGTTCCCGGAACCAGGTTGATCACATGACGCAAACATTGGTTCGGGCGGGTCTTTGGAGACGACGTCTAGAGATTCCTCATCCAAAGAATAGTACACATCCGAGGAATTTTTCAGGATCGACGACCACTTCGTGTGTTCAGCATCCTCTTGGGGTCCCCTAGACAGCTTTATCCAGATGCGACAACGAGATCATCTCCTTGTTCGGTCTTATAATGACCAACTCGGCTAAATTGCCTGCCTTCAAGATACCGCCAAACTCTTCGAAGGACATCTCGTCCAGCTGAAGAATAGCATCCACCGCGGATATAGCGTTGAGGATGACGTCGTCATCTTCCTCTCCCGTTATACCTTTGACAAGGCTATATAGCTGTTGGATATCGTCTACGGTAAAACTCTGGGTCAGGGTCGACGCCCTGCGTCTTGCAGTCATCATACGGCATTGACATCTCATCTCTATAGAGGTTTTACGTCTCACGGGACCATTGGGAACACGCAATCAGCATCGTGCAATGTCCCCACTCCCTGCTCTATCGAACCCTTGATGTTATTTGACAACATCCGATGAAGAGCTGCTATGTTTGCAGTCTTCGTTTAGTATATTACTTGCCACTCCACGTATATCGGTAGGGCCTTACCCATGATGCCTCTGACCTCGTCCGACCATGCCACTCTTGGCATGCAGCAACTGCTTCGATACGTGAGCAGTGCTCAGTGGATTACATGCCACTTCACGCGCATCAATAGGGCCTCGCCCTTGATGCCTCGGACCTCGTCCGACCATGTCACTCTAAGTATGCAGAAACTGCTTCGTAACGTGAACAGTGCTCAGTGGGTTACGTGTCACTCCGTTTTGTCCAATAAATACACATTTGGTGGTCGACAGCTCGGATACTCCGATATCCAGCTCATTGACCGTCCCGATGCAGTGCCAGCGCCATGAGGGCTTTCTAGCAGAGGTGATTTCTAAATCACCAAAGCTCCATAAGGAGACTGCGCGTAGCGCCCAAGGTCTTCGACCTCCAATCAATGCGTCGCTCATGGTGTTCCAACCATGCCATACAAAGGAAAAATTCATGCTGTGCCTAAGACTCGGCAGCGTTCCACGCTATCAAGTTAAGAAACTTGACACCGAGGTCCACAGGACCCTCGGCACAGTGACACAAGTCTTCGTCGCTAAGTGATCAGTGACGGCGTCACTCAACCGCGCTTTCAGCGTCTCAGCATACAGCTGACTTCCTTGGCTCATGGAACGTCGAGCAATTTTGCTCAACGCCCCGGAATTGATAAGGATCTTCGATGACTCCTCAAAGCCCTTCACAGTTTTGCGACCAGCAAGCCCGGCTTGCATAAACATTCCATGTTCAAGAGCACGTAGCTCTTCTGGCTGAGCTCTTCTGCCCTCTAGCTCTTCGAGGCTCATAAAACTCAGAAATTTCTCAGAAGGGCACCCCGCTCCTACTGGTTTTGTCGTTTTCTGCGGCAAACCAGACTGGTGAGAAGCGAGACGTCGGTTCGACGAACCTTTACGTGGCTTGCGCAGGGGGCAGCCAATCCGAAGGTGATGGGGGGGTTGTATCCACAGACAGAACAACGTCGGTGTTTAAACGCTTCCCTGCAGCTCGGACCTCTCCCTCCTACTTCTTAGCATAGCTGAGATCCATTGGCTCAGGCCCGCTCTACGAGCTCTAAGGGTGTGCACTCTAACCAAGTCGCGCCAACTTGAAGTTTATTTTTGGCATATAATGGCAGTTCCATTCCGGCCACGTTAGTGCGGAGGATCTCCATCCAGACGGTCCCTGTGATCGGCTGCCATCCCGGCAACGAGAGTTTTCGACTCTCGGACAAAGTCCACTAACTGCTTCTTTCTCTTTCAGGTGGCACGGAAATGTGATCGCACGCGATATGCCTGGTTAGGCGGCGAAAACACTCGCGAAAGCTGGCGTTTCAGCTCGTTCCAGGAAGAGAACACCGCTTCAACCGAAGCACCGCACGTCAGTTCCCATTATCGTCCTCGGACCCGAGCTTGGATATAGCAAGCGCCACGCGCTGTTGCTTGTTCTAGAGCATGGCGGATGCCGTAGCCATCTCGGCCTCTATCACCCAGAGCAGAAGCTTTTCTCCATCCTGACCCTCGAAGGTCTCAACGCTCACCATGATCGGCCTGGGTCGGAAGGATTCATCAGTAATTCATGGACGCAGTCTACGCCGACAGCTTCTGCTGTTGGTGCTCTACTAGCTTATTTTTATAGCTCAAAAATGTCTCTTGGTACTGGCTTATCGCTTTGGGTCCTTGCAAAACAAGGTGTTCCATGCCCTTAGGGCCAAGCAGGGACATCAGCTTATTGAGTACTTTTTGCATGCCCTGGGGCAAAGAAGAGAGTTGCTCCATCCTTACAAAGGAGCAGTCGTAACGACTCAGGCGTTGATTAACTATGAGTGCTACCAAGTGCAGCGGGGCTGCCGTAGCCCTTTGCTTAGAGGAATCTGAGCGAAGGTCACCGACCTTACGTTTTTTACAAGAACCAGTTCGAGTACAGCGGATCGCAATCCGCTACCTCCAAGAGCACTTAAAAACATTAATAACGGTATGGACGCTCTTCCGTTCAAGATTGAAACTGTATTACTTGTTTTATTTGCGGCAGAGCCGCCCATATCCAAGCATTAAATTAAATAGTAAAAGCTTATTGATGTGCATAGCTACTGGCAGTCCCGCCACGTAGTGACTTCTTGTTACAGTGTAGCCACACCATTGTGTGATTACACCGACTTGTGTAATTCACACATTTGAACGGTCACACCATCTTGTATGACTCACTCTTTCATACCAGGGTACGTGTAACCCAGTTATCATGAGGCTGACAGCCCACGTGTCCCACGGACCCCTCTTTTTTATGAAGTCCAAATGACCAGTTTGAGTTTTGCGCAATTACACAAAAGTGTTGTTCCAATCGTATTGAGAGCGTAAAGTGGGTGCACACAATAGTACGGTACACATCTCATAGGCAAACTTGAGCATCTGAAGTGATTATGGTTTCGTGGTAGACAAAGGCTAAGCGTGGATCCGTAAGAGGATGCATTTTCATTGTTAACAGGACGGTCGTATCCTACTTTTGCAAGTAGCAGACTGGTGTGGCACAGTGGAGGCGGCGTGCGCGGAAGGGTATGATCACGTGGGTGAGTAACCGAGCGGTGATATAAAAAGTCGAGGCGTCGCAAGTGCTAAGCAGGTTGATGTGTATCTCAAATTAATTTATCATCCGTCATGTCACATTTATTTACCTGATATTCTGGTATTTTATTTATTAGGAGAGCTTACATTAAGTTGCACCTTCGCAAGCTTGCTTTAAAGGCCAACAAAACCTCAAATAACAGCTCTGGCCAACACAATATCAAGCGCTTTACGACTATATACAACGGGTATATTGGATATGGAAGTTCATTGCCAAATCCAAGGTCTTAAAAATATATAACAGTGAAGATACAAGATGCGGGTGAGGAGGAAAATACCTTCTGAGGAATGTGGTTATTTTTGCATAGTGTCAAGTATATTAAAATTGCCACTGCCGTTTCATCTGGCGACAGAACTTGTGATGCTAAGCGTTAGACCCCCTATACTGAATCTGAGATAATACACCAAGGGCAAAAAAACACTCTATTCAGAAGCATACTGTTGAATATTGTTTGAGCTAAATCGCAACTCCTATTATTTTATATATTATTAAGAAAAAGGCTGTAAATCTTGGCTTCCGTGACCAAAATTTCTCTTGACTTATTTTATTAAAGCTAGGTTCCAGAATTTACTATAAGTGAGAAGTGCGAGCTGAGTATCATCCTGCCTGGAAACCATCGACGGGTTTGGAATCGTACAAGGAATGCTAGATTAAAGCAGAAGTATGGAAAGTAGAATGATGAGAAATCGCCAGCTCCTCGAATAGGCGGCATTTACAGACTAAAACATGTTGTAGAGATCACTATAGTGTTTCTCGCGCTCTTAGTCTTCGGTTTGACTGACTAGCTGCGAGCCCGTACTTCTCGACAATTTATTTAAGTATGACGAAAGAGCAGAAATGCAGGCAGATGGCCACTTAGCACACGGCAAATCTAGTGGTGCATATCACAATTAAGGCTGTGAATCTTTTCCAAGTATGCTAACATGCCACTTATTCCCAAAATACTTTTAACTTGGTTTCAGTACAGGGGTGGGTCGGCAAAAATTGTATTTTGGCACGATACAATTTTTTTGCTTGCTCTTTGTTCTGCTCTCACAGCTGCTCTAATAATAACGCCCACCTCGCTGCATATGAAGGTCGACAATTTTCCACCTCAGGGTTTCTTGTTCTTCGTCGTAGTTGCGTTGGAAAGCGAAAATGTAGTAGTACGCCAGCACCTCATCCTCGGATCCTTCCACAATATCCCCCTCACGGTTTCGAATGCAATTAATTTGTTGAGCTTGAAAACGCATGAGGATGATAGGGGCCTGCTTATCTTCAGCCTATCGTAGTACAATTTCGTATTGTATTAAAAAATTTGAAACCTCAATCCACAAAAATGTCGTACCGTCGCCTCGATCACTTCCACATGATCAATGCTGAGCACGTGTGGGTCCATTATAAGACCCTCCGACTTGCGCTCACGAATTGCAGTATTCACACGCGAATAAGCCGCCTCACCAAACCAATTTTTCAGATCGCGGCTGTTGCCGCGAAGAAATGCCTCCAACACTCCGGGTAGTACAATTTTTTCAATGTTTTCCTTCCATTCCTCCAAAATAAAGCTCGGCTCAGCTCGGCGAATTTCTTTTATTGCAACACCCATCGCAGTTTCACCAAATAGTCCGTCATAGATGGAAGAGAGACGGTACACCCATGGGTTCTGACTGGTTTCCCAAACTTCCAATACTTCTTCCTGGGCATCGCTGAGTTTATCCTTGACCTGCTTCGTTTTTTGCTGCACCTTCTTCCCGGTCTCTGTCTGCGCTGCCTGTTTTGCAGCATTTAAGATACTTTTAATGATGGGGGCCTCACGAAAGCGAGCGCTAACACGTTGCCAGGCGCTCTCATCATCTTTTACAGTCACCAACGCGCTGGTACCAGTGTACTTCGACATTTCTTCGACGTCGCTCGTGGTTTTTTTTTTAGTTTTCATTAAAGGTGTTCTAACAGAGGCCAAAGCCTCATCAATCGTCTGGTTTTCTCGCTTTCCAAAAAGGTTTTGTGCTGCCTCTTTCCATTCATCGCGCAATTCAGGCCATCTGCTTGGGTGAATTAGCTTGATTTCTTTGAAATTAAGGCCTGCAATATATCTGCGAACAAACTCTCGCGCGCCGTCCAAAACATCACCAATCTGCTCAACATTCTGGACATCAGGTAGACATCGTCAATAACTATATGCAAAATATGTGCGCAATATGTAGTACAGTAAATCTTAAGCACCTCACTGCTTCCCATGTTGGTGTCACACTTTTTGGCGTTAAAGTTTGCTGCGTTTTCGTGAAATTTCGCCTTAGCGTCCTTCTCGGGAACAGTTTTCTCGTTGTGTACCTGCGGCTTTAAGGAATCTTGCGAGGCTTTCTTGTCAGGATTTGCCGATAGATGGTTAGTAGATGCACCCCTAGTAGTCGGCTTAGCTTTCTTTGACTTCTCCTGGGTCTTCTCCAGCTCCTCAAAAGAGCCTCCAAGCGCCCCATTCTTCTCCATCTCAGTTTTGAGCTGTTTTTTTACAGGTGCAGATAAACAATATTCACGCAACCGCGGTTGCAGATCTAGAGGTGCCCGCCATAGCAACACTTGACCCTTGCTTGGGCCAGTGAGGCGCACGTGGCGCATGGTGCGCGTAAGCATGTGGGTTAGATAAGATGTGATAAGCTTTTTGTCCAATCCTTGCATTTAGCGTCTGCCAGCTAAAACAGAGGGTCAAACTTGGCTGCAAAGTTCTTATATGCGAGAAAGACACTTGCTAAAGTGTTGGTAAATAGAGCGATACGATAGTGACAATGCTGACAGTCAAAGAAAATAAAATAGGGCATGCAGTCTAAGCAGGAAAAGATTGCACGACAGGAAAAAGTGGAAAAGGAGTAGCTCGTGAATACGAATGAGGGTGATGAAAATGGTAAAGCAACGGACTAAGTCAAAACCGAGGGCACCAATCTTGCAAAGCGCACCACAGGTGAGATGTACTTTTCCAGCGAGGAGTTCGGCCCTCGCCGCTGTCCGAGCCCACGCGACAAGCGCTGGCTGACATGAGCTCCTTTCTTCAAGATGACTCAAAGTCATAGCAACCCGATTCGTCCGTTATGATCTACTAGGTCTGAGACAAGTTTCGCCAAAGTGCTGTCGACCTTTTTCCAGCAATCGATATGCTTAACAAGGTATTTATCACAGCGCGCAAAGATACTGATTATACTGTCTTCTTCCGAACACGGGAGTTGGCGCTGCAAAATTCACCGTGGCTCACGACATTTGCAAGTACCACTCACAAACAAACGGTGTGGTGCGAATCGCCGAGCCGAGGGTTTGCGTCTTCTAAAAGGTATGAACATTCTTATCTCGACGCTTGGTCGTCTGCTTGGCATCTTTCAAATACGAAATTCCTTATAACCACATGTTGCTCTGACATCATTTCGTCGTCGGAGCAGTACGACCGAACGTAATTTACTCGCAAATATCACCGGGCGGACAAAACCGAATGATCATCTGGTGCACCTAGGACTCATCTGTGCTTGGAAATATACCAATCTTTGCATTGCAAATTAAAACTATGTTGCTGTTCACTTTTTACTTTTGAATGTCGTGAGTGCACAATACAGGAATGTCGATGCAATAAAGCAGATTCCGTAGACTTCAGAGTCTACGGATACTACCTGACAAGAAGAAAATCATCATATTCATCAAAAAAATACTCAAAACAATAACAGCGAGACGAAAGGCTCGTTGCTAGGAGTTATGACGGGGCCTGCTCCAGCTGGCTTTCGTGACTTTCTCTTTGGCTTCGAAGTACACAGGCTTTTCTTTGGTAAAACCTCTATTATCTTGCACTAAACAGTACTCTTTGGCAATTATTGGGAATACACTTTATGATCCGACGCAATTCTTGTTCAAGAAGTGCTCAGGACAGAGATAATTTCTTTTTCGTGCTTTCACCCGGTGAGCTTGAATTTTAAACGATCTTATTAATGAGTACAAGTCCGATTCAAAGATCGCAAGTATCGTATCTCATTTCCTGAAGCCCGTGGAAAAGACCTATCACCTTCACAATTCTGTCAAGGATGCATATCGTGGCTATTAATAATGCACGCCGCGCAAATCTGACAAGCATTTTTGATGTTGGCCGTTCCGGTCTTGTGCCTTCATGGTTGCTGGCACTATATATATCAATGACCAATGCGGTGGCACTTACCACTTCGCGAGCTGGTGTCTTTATCAATGAGCCTTTGCGCTAACCAACACTTCTACTTTGTCTTGCCGGGCAGCGTTACCTGAGGTGACACTTGTACTTCGAAAGACTACAAGTAGCGCGTCATTATTCACAAGCTCCAGTATATAATTGCAATATTAGGAAAGTTACACACAACAAACGAAATGAAGGATTAATAAATGTGGACACCAGACTAACTAGACAAAAAAGGATTCAGTGCTTAAATTTCAAACTGATCAGGACAGCAGTTAGGTAACCGAAACCTTCACCTCTGGATCGAGGTACTGCGGAAGTGCTGACGGGTGTTCTACTCGATTTGCGCTGGGTGATTGCTACATAGCACCTTGGTTGTGACGGGGCACACGGCACCTTGCACAGAGGAAGCTTGACTTCCAAGAGTAT